ATTTTATAACTAACTTCTTTAAACATTTGCAGAGAAAGGCAGATATACACTATTATGATGAATGTCTATGATACAAATAAGCATTTCAGTAGGCTCAAATTCTCATTTTTAGAAATAATTTAATCCATAATCCTAAAGACAATAACCCAAGATATAAAACACAACATTTTGAAAATAGCAGATTTGGATTGGTTATTTGAATAAGATTAAATAATGTGTAAATTCATCTAAAAATGAAGATCATAGAATATTTCACCAGAATAAAATAAGAACATTCCTATTATTTCAAGTCAGAAAAAATCTTGAAAAGTTTAGCAGTACTATAACTCCTCCCAAATAAAATCTAAAATGCCCTTGACAATAGCTTTTTACAGTAGTGCTTAATATTTTTAAGATTAAATAGCAGATGACCAGATGACCATTGTAAAATTTGCCTATTAATTTTTTTGTACAGTATAAACATGTCATATTCCCCTTCCCCCGAATATATGAATTCTAGTTTATGATGCATTGTGACCTGGCAAGCCTATAGCCTGTACAAGATTTGGAAGATTTAATCCACAGCAGAATAGTATCATTAGATGTGGAAATTCTCATTTTCATCGTTAAAATGAAAGCAAAAGCATGTATGAATGTAACTAAACACAATTAAGGAAACAGTAATAAAAATCTGCGTTCCACAGTTCTAATTGCTGCCTACCTCTGTGAGATTGTAGGCTGTAATTTGCAGGTCTTTTACCATTACCAAAAAGACATGAATACTCTAAATCGAAGCTACAGTAGCCAGCTATTATTACATAGCTTAATAGACCCTATATACTAAAGTTGGAGAAATAAGATGAGAAGCAATTATCAAATTCAACAAAGAACAGAATAGTAAATTCATAATATTGTGTTACTGTGGGAGGTGAATCTAAAGTCTAAATTAACTGATTATAATTTAGTAATTCTAGGTCTTAAAAGGTGCCTATTAATGGTCAAGTTTATTTTTTAAAATACATACTGTATTCCCCTACAAATTTAGCATTTTACTATTCTTCAAACGTTGCATTTTTCCATGTTCCAAGTACTGTTTGTAATTAACATGGCTCCTGTTTAAAGTCTTTATGGATGCCTCATGCACAGTAATGAGATTTGCAGGATTCAGCACCTCTTAGGATTCTACGCCCTCTTTGCTGGTGCTGTTGCAGATTCTCTACTACATGTTTCTTGATGATGTAGTTAAAGATTCTTAAAGAAAAAGATATTTCCAATCTACAGGACATTCTCCACTCAACTCAATTTCAAATTACATTAAACTTGGAGCCTGAAGTATTGAACTGTGATGTCCCATAATTTTAGGATGTAAAACACTTTAGGATTAACCAATTTAGGAACTGGCCAGTTCCCAGAGTTTTTGGGATACCCTGGGGGATGATTTCTGGTCACCATAGCAAGGGCCAGCTTGATGCACATCACCTCCCACTGCTAAACAACCCTATTCTGTTCATGAAGTGCCCCATTTCCCCTCACTGCACTGTACAGTCCCTTTTTGCTGCTACTTCCAGACCTGACTGAGGCAACTTTTGTGCATCTCCATGTGACAGTTTTGGCATGTTTAATAAACTAATTTTGAATATTTTCATATAATTTGCATATGACTATAAATGTTGGTTTTATGGACAATATACACTTCTCCAACCAGCTATGGGCAGGGGGGAGGACGAGGACAGGGAGCTGTACAAAGCTTGGCAGCTACATGGCTAGGGCATGAAGGGAGGAAAATAAGTATCTAAAGTGCTGGGTTAGGTGGAGGTGCTGGCAGATGTCTGGGACTGCTAAATTAGGTGAGTGCTGGAAGGTCTCAGGTAACTGGGAAGGCTCAAATATCTCAGTGTTGCCTCGGGTAGCTGGATGGAGTGCTGGGATGTCTGATGAACTGAAGTAGCTGGGTGGGTGCTGGTTTTTGTCTGGGCCCTGGTAGCTGGGGAACTCATGGCTGTGGTCTCCCTGGAGGGAAAAGGACTGGAATCTGGCTGAGGTTTCTGGGAGACAGAGCTGGGGTCTGGCTATGAAGCAGTGGGTCTTTTGGGGGGCACAGGTCTGGCTGCAGATACAAAGGGTCTTGCTGGGGGTTAGGGTGCACAGTGTGGAGCCAGGGCATGTGCTAATACTGAGCTCCCTCACCTTTTGTTCCCACCAGCTGACCAACTCCTATGAGTTTTCATAATTTTTAGTATTTTCTTCAAACCCCAACTGCTGGAATCACATTGCATGAGAATCTCAGCTTTCATTTAAAAAAAAAAAAAAAAAACCCACACATCTAGCCCTAATGGTTGCAGAGAAAAAGTTTGCAAATGTGAACCACATGCACTCTTAAGACTCAAAGGAGAAGCAGAACTGAAGCAGAAGCAGAACTGAAATCATTTTAGTGGCACTTTTGGATGATCTCCTGTCAATGGATATCATCCCCCGGGACCTCTCTGCAGCATGCAACACTGTCAACCATGAGATACTGCTGTCTCACCAGAAAGAGGTGCAAGGAGCAAGGGTAATACACTAAAACAATCTGAGTCTTTTCTAAAGGGACATACCAACAAGTAGTGATGGGAAACTACATCTCTCCTACCAGACCCCTCACTTGTGAAGTCACACAAGGATCAATTCTCTAATTCTTTTCAACATGTACGTGCAGCAACTAGATGAACTGGTCAGACGACAGACTCAATGCCAGTAATATGCTGATAATACATAGCTCTACCTATCCTTCACCACCTACCACCTCACCACTACCACCAAAATGGCCTACTGCTTGCATGAGATTAGCTCATGGATAAACAGCTGGCTGAAGATGAACCCAAGCAGGACAAGCAATACTGGTGGGCAGAGGATGAGGGAACACATACAACAGATGTTAGTCATAGTCATGTTGCTTAATGTACTATCAGAAGGCGTTCAGATACTTAGGTTTTCATACCAAGCTCATCACCGATCTAGAACAGACAATCCACTGGAAGCCTGCCTCCCAAGCAGCCTTCAGTGGCCACAGGTGGAATTATACCTTCTATAAGAGTGAAGCTGAACTGCAGGCAGCAGGGCTGCCAAACACGTATCTCAATAAATTCATGACACTTGGAAGCTCTTGAACAAATGACAGCAGGGAAGAGAGAAAAAACTGTAAAGCAACAACAGAAGGCTGGAAACTAGGGCCTGGTCAAGACCAAGCTAGGGAGGCTGTGATAAATGAAGAGGGGGGAAGGAGAGCTCCCTTTTATGAACCCAGCCAGTCAGTTAGCTATAAAATCCCTCTTAGTAGCTGTTCTCTAATTGCTTTACCTGTAAAGGGTTAAAAAGTCTCACTGCTATGCATAGGTAAAAGGAAGCGAGCGGGCACCCAGCCAAAAGAGCCAATGGGAAGGCTAGAACTTTTTAAAATTGAAACAAGACTCCCCTTTTATTTGTCTGTTGTTGTTCTCGGGGAGAGGCAGACATGGAGCAGTTATGCGGTGAGAAGCTTGGGCCAGGTATGAAAAATTATCAGTATCATACCTAGAAACTACTCATTTAAAAATCCAGATATGTAAGTAGATCAGGAAATGTTTAGGAAGACGCGATTAAGATTATCCCTTTTATTTCTTTATGACTTGTGGATTCCTCTGTGCTAACCCCAGGTGCTTTTGTTTTGCTTGTAACCTTTAAGCTGGACCTCAAGAGAGCTATTCTTCATACTTGATCCTTGTAATTGTTTTTTTTTTAATCTAGCAAAAGCCTAAGTCCCAGATGTATTTTTTTTTATTAATAAAATTTACCTTTTTTTAAGAACAGGATTGGATTTGTTTCAAAGAAGCAGCTGTGTTAGTCTGTATCCGCAAAAAATATTGGATTTGTGTGTTCTAAGAGGTTTGTGCACATGTTGTTTAATTAGCTGGTGGCAACAACTGATTTCCTTTATTTTTCTTCTCAGCTCTTCCCAGGGGATGGGAGGTGAAAGGGCTTGAGGGTACCCCACAGGAAGAAATTCCCAAGTGCGCCTTTCTGGGCTCTCAAAGGGGTTTTGCACTTGGGTGGCGGCAGCATCTACCAATCCAAGGTCAGAGAAAAGCTGTAACCTTGGGAGTTTAATACAAGCCTGGAGTGGCAAGTATTAATTTTTAGAGATCTTGTGGGCCCCCACCTTCTGCACTGGAAGCACCAGAGTGGGGAATCAGCCTTGACAGAGGCCAAGTGGAGAGTGATTAAAAAAGTGGATGAAAGGTTAAAAAAAAAAAAAAAAAAAAAAAGGCAACTCGATGTAGAGAGTTTTCAGGATAGTCTGAACAAAAAGTTTTCCAGCTTGAGTATCTAATGGTAGTCACCTAAAAATGGGACCTGGCGTTACAGGCTGGGCACTCAACTCCCAATAAAGTCAACAGCAGCAACCTATGCTCAGCACTCTGAAAACCAAGTCACTTTAATTTAAGGCCTGGTATACACTAGGAAATTAGGTCAGTTTAACTATGTCACTCAGCGGTGTGAAAGGTTCACAACCGTGAGCGATGCAGTTAAACCAAACAACCACCAGTGTAGACAACGCTAGGTCGAAAGGAGAATTCTCCCATTGACCTAGCTACCACCCCTCGGGGAGATGGATTACCTACGCCAGTGGGAGAATCCATTGGCGTAGGTAGCATCTTCACTGAAGTGCTACAGCAGCACAGCTGAGACAATGCCACTGTAGCAGTTTGTGTGTATACAAGCCCTTAGTGTCTAAGTTTAGGCACCTACATTTGTACTCAGTTCAGCAACTTGTACTTGAATCCAGACACTATCTTTTGCCCCATAAGATATGTAGCTGGGTAATGGTTCATGTTGAGATTCTCACAAAGCTTTCCCTCCCATTCGCCCCCCACCCCCAAAAAGCAGATTTACAACAGTAACTTTGGCTACATATTTTAGAATCATAGAATCAGTTCAAGTTAGAGATTTTAATCTATTTCCGAACACTTAAATGATCAATGAAGTATATCACTGGAGTAACTTACGAGTCAACATGTAGAACCCTCTGGCCACTTCTTGAGCATGCAGATGCAATGATAGATTCAGGCAAGCCTATAAAATAATGTTTATTAACAGTTAACGGTTTATAAAGTGCGTGTATTAAGTAGAATAAGAGAGTTACTATGTCAGTGCCATACAATTTAGCCAAAAAGGCTCACATCTTTTTAGATTAAGCCTTTACACATTCATGCTAAAATATCAAATACAAAATTTCAGTGTCAATAAGAGGTTTTTCAATATTATCCTAAGGAACTTACAGAACATAGCCACAGAATTTATTTATTTATTGTTACATTACACAGCATTTTGTCTTTGCAAATGCTATTAGCATCTCTTTGTGGAATCTTGTCACCAGCCTCTCTCCTAGATGACTTGATATCAGCATTTCCTATGTGATACTGCCTGAAGCTTTATGGGATGCTCAGAAGCGTCTACCTCACTGATACAGACCCTGAGTTATTTGAAAATAAAGTTATTTTCACTATACTTCAGCCCAGGAATCGAAGTTGATAAATGGTGGTAGAGTTCTACTAAATACTCTGCCTACATGAGACATCACTTATGGCAGATTAGGTAGACGTTTAAAATATGACTATGCACGTTCTCTAGACTCTACTCCCCACTCAACAGGTACTCTTCACTGCTAGATTCCTTTGAGCATCATTCCTTTGAGTCAGCACTAATTGAAAGGAATGGGGCAGTTCACACCACTTACAGCTATTCTTTCAGGTTCTTCTAAAGCAGGAAGAAGAAACTACAATAGTTAGCTTCAAACACAAACTGAGGGCATGTCTTCACTAGCAAAGTTAAAGCGCCGCCACAGCAGCACTTTAACGTGGCTGTGTAGTCGCGGCACCAGCGCTGGGAGTCCCCACACCGGCGCAGCTCTCCCAGCGCTATTAAAAAACAAAAAACAAAAACAAAAAAACACCACCTCCACGAGGGGAGTAGCTCCCAGCACTGGTGCACTGTCTACACTGCCACTTTACAGCACTAACTTGCAGCATTCAGGGGGGTCTTTTTTTCACACCCCTGAGTGAGAAAGTTGCAGCACTGTAAAGTGCCAGTGTAGACGAGGCCTGAGTGCATCTCAGCCATAATAGCTATAGACTTAAAAATTAAAGTTAAAGCTTTGGAGAGCAAAGTGGTAGCACAAAAGACACTGGTATACCATACTGCCACATACCAGCCCAATTCAAACTCTTTCAAATATTCTCTCTCTTTTTCAAATACATCTTTCTTTCAAATATTTTGAATGCCTAGTTACAGGGACCCAATAAGATTTACTGTCACCCATTCTTAGGAATCATGACCTGATTTCTGTTAGAGCTGCTTAAACTATATATTCAGCTAGAGAGAGAAACTAAGGAGAACTATAGATCCTCTCTCTTCTCCATTTCCTCAGGCACAATACCAGTTCTACTCTTACAAAAAGGACACAGTAAGGTTTCTTCATCTTAGCAACCTGATAATTCACTTCAAATACATCATGTAGCATCTTAAAAGGTTATAAGGACAAGTAGTTACTAACTTTAAAAGTGTGCTAAGGAAATTAACATCAGCCTTCCTTGAACTGATGTGAGGAACTCTACAAAACACTACAAAATTAAGTTGACTTAAGAAGTTAGGTCGACCTGCAGCCACCACAGTAATTAAATAGGCTCTTTGTATCCACACTGCGCTCCTTCTATTGTCTGTGCACATCCTCGCCAGGAGTGCCTGCACTGACTTTTGCCATGCTCTCCCTCTCTCTTCCACCTCCATCTACAGACATCATCACCAAGCGACTGAAGCGTTGATCAAAGGCGAAAGCCTTGCTGAAGGGCTACCAGCCAGCCTGTGGTGAGAAGCATCCAAGTTTGTAAAGGCACTGAAAGTGTTAAGATCAGCTTAGAAAGCGTTTTGCTTTTATTTCATTTCACCAAATTTGACTTCTTGTGCTTTGACTTATAATCACTTAAATCTATCTTTTGTGGTTAATAAATTTGTTTGTTCATTCTACCTGAAGCAGTGTGTTTGGTTTGAAGCGTCTTTGTTAAACTGACAAACTCATAAGTTTACAGCATTCAGTGGGCATAACTGGACACTGCAAGATGGAGGATCCTAGGGTTGTGTCTGGGACTGGAGATATTGGAAGAATAACCACCAGTTTGGTGTATGTCTGTCCTATTTCTCAGCAGTTTGTCCTGAATTTGGTATTGTCAGTTGTGACCCACAAAGACACGGTTACAGAACCCTACTAACATCTGTAGTAAGATGAGGCCCTGAAACATAAACCCTTATCAGAGGCCCAGTATGAGGCCTGAGGCCTGACCTAAAATAATGGTCAAGACTTTGCTAACATAAAGCAAAGTTAAGCTGTGAGCTAGAGGCAGGCCCTGCTCACAGAAGCTGGCAAGGAAAGGGCTGATGCTGCAAAAAGAGACATACCTAAAAGGTACTAGACACCAGATATCAGAACATTCGCATACTTGTACATTCCACACATAACAAGGAACAAGCTTACCCATCCCAATGACAGGGCCAAAAGGGTAATATGATGGATAGAGTTGTTTTGTTCAAACCAACATATACAAGGTGAGAGGCAGCACCTTACTACTTAGTGGGGTTGCACCTCAATACGTCAGGAGTGATCTTTAACTTGTTTGTACCCGTGTATAAGAATGCATCCCTGAGTGGATATCTTTGTCCAGCCTAGGGGGCAGTGGAAAGTCCCGCCACTGACTGAGCTGAGTCCATTGTCAGGGAGCACATATGTACTAGCTAGCAGCACCTTAGCAGCACCTTGGACTTCTATGCCAGGGAAAGCTGGAGACTCTCTCTTCGACAATAAACCTGGCCGACATGCCTTCGTACCTTACTAGAGTCTGTGGTCATTGGGGGTTCTCTTGGGATCTGCTGTGTCAGCCATCTGCGCAGAGCTGGGGCAGCACACAGAGGGAACACACGCACGCAGCCGATTGATATCAACATTGAACAGAGCAGAGCACCACACCGGGAGCGTCTGACGACAACATTATTCAAACAGGTAGAATATTTTAATATAATAAATATAGTACGGTATAAAACAGTGTCAATTACACTAAACTTAGGGAGGGGCGGTGGCTGGGTTTTCTTGGGCTGGCTTTTCTGTGGCTGGCTTTTTGGTTGCAGAAGTCTTAAAAAAAGGATTTTATCAACATCTGCTCTCCTGCATGAATCTTTGAATGGTAGATCTCCCTGTAGCAAGCCATTGCATCATTGAGAGGCCTGGAGACTTTGGCAGACCGCTCACGAAATGGATCCCCACTCTGTATGATTACCGTCATCTCATCCAGCAATCCAAAGAAACGGGAGAGATTCTTTGTCGTCAGACTCCTGGCTTCCTGCCTTACGTCATCGTCATCATCGTCCTTGCTTTCTTCGGATACCCGTTGTTGGCCCAGTTCAATCAGTTCCTCATTTGTCTGCTCAGCATGAGACTCCAACAACTCCCGTACATCATCCTCCGACAACCTCCTTGAAGCCGACATCCTCCGCCAACTTGACAATTTCTTGCTCGAGAGCAGGAACAGCATCAAATCCCATGAAGCTGTGGACAGCATATGGCCATGCACAGTGCCAAACACTGTTCATACATTGCGAAGTGACCGCTTCCCATGACACATCAATGTTTTCCACACCATTCAAGATGTTGTAGGACTTCCAAAACTCCTTTACACTGGGCTTTCCTTCACCTGCCATCTCCTTATTCAGCATGGAGAATGTCCTCTATAGGTAATAAGCCTTGAACGTGGCCAGTGGATCCAAGTACAGTACTGTACAATAGGGGATATGCAGATCAGGACCAACATAAATTGGAACATATTCCCCTACTGATGAGCGATGGATATCCGAAACAACGGATAAGGAGGAGATGTATACCAGGGACTCCTTGTATAGTGAAGACGCTTACACAGTTAGGTAGACGTAAGGCAGTTTGTCGACCTAACTGTAGTTTGAAGCCTGGTCTACACTATCAAGTGATCATTTGTCTAGCTCAGGGATCGGCAACCTTTGGCACGCAGCCCACCAGGGTAAGCCCCCTGGTGGGCTGAGCCGGTTTGTTAACCTGCAGCGTCTGCAGGTTCGGCCGATCGCGACTCCCACTGGCCACGGTTCGCCGCTCCAGGCGAATGGGGGCTGTGGGAAGCGGTGGCCAGCACATCCCTCAGCCTGCACCACTTTCCGCAGCCCCCATTGGCCTGGAGCCACGATCGGCCGAACCTGCGGATGCTGCAGGTAAACAAACCGGCCCGGCCCACCAGGGGGCTTACCCTGGCGGGGCCGCATGCCAAAGGTTGCCAATCCCTGAGATAGCTCAAACCCTAAGAAAAACTGAAGACTTGTACTAGATTAAAAAATGCTAAAATATTACGTATTATGTTTAAAAATGTTTTGCCTAGTCCTGGTTAACCCTAGAACCCAAGACTAGATAACACAAGGAGGATCTAGACATCAAATGCCATATTTTATAGTCTTGAACTCAGATCTAGTCCATACTTAAAATCTACACCCGAACACCATGGCTATGCCAACCTAACCCTCAATGTAGAAGCAGCTAAATCAACAGGAGAATGCTTCCAATGACCTAGCTACTTTTGCTCAGGAAGGTGGTGCTCCTACACCAACGGAAAAACTCCTTTCGTCACTGCAAGCTGCATCCACATTATGGGGTGGTGCTGTAGCTATCCCACTATACTCCACATAGTGTAAACATGGCCTCAAGTCCTTATTTAGAGCTGGTTCACATTGAAATCAACACATTATTTGCCAGAATAAAGACTGCTGGATTTGGAACTATAGAATGCAGAAGCAATTGCTTCCTTTCCCCTGGGTCCTAAGACATTGATTGGAACACAGTTCTTCTACTCAGCTCAGGTTCTCTAGGGCAGTTAAAAATTCCTCCCTTCCCCTTCAGAACTAAATTAGCATTATTACCCACTTTATTCTCATAAATTACAAAAATCAGATTACAGAAAAAAGCATTACAAAATATTTAGCTAGCCTAAACAGAAAAATACTTTCCCTTT